TTTTGTACAAATTGAATTATACAATGCTTAAAATACTTTAAGTCACTTTATAAGCAAAATACATAGTACTTAATTTGTTTATACGGTAAAGTATATGTTAAATGCTTTGAGCAATTTGAGAATAAAAAGTTACTAATGCTGTTGTATTTTATACTTTTTAAAAACTACCCAAACATACTTATTTGACTTTCATCTTAAAAATGTATGTTTTTGTTTCAGATCCATATTTGATGGGTATTAATAATATTAATGTTTATGACAGACTCACTTTTTTGAAGATAAAAGGTTAGGCTCATGGGACCTATTCTTGAAATAAGCTCTGATGCCTAAAGAAACGGGGAATTTAAAATCTACCATGAAATAAAATTTTTAAATTTTTCTGCAGAAAATGGGTAAATTGCAAATAAGGAATAGTTGTTTCTGCATTCAGAATGAGAACTTACAAAATACATTATTTAGACGTAGAATTATCAGTCTTGAACCCAGCCAGTCTTTTTAGAGATAAATATCTTTATGTAAATCAGAATAGTTTTTCATCTATTGAAATTATTTTCATTGTTTTACTGGCTTTCAGTTTATCTTGGTAATTTGAGCTGTTTTAACCATACCAGAAAAAAAAGGTATGCTTGAAGATTAAGTCAGTTTACTACATTTTAAGAACTTTTTTCTATTTATGGAAAAGTTTAGGCTGGAAGGAAGGAGATTGTGTGAAGAAGGTTCAAGCCTCCACTAGGTCCTTAAAAAAATGTTTTTTACACTAAGTTCTTTAACATGCTATAGTTAATATCCACCCCACACATAGATGGGAATGGTATTTGCACAACTCCAACCCCGGTGTGTCTGTGGGACTGGTTTTAATCTTACCAAGCAGTCAGGAAAATTCCAGCTGTACTCTAAAAAGGACAAGCCTTTTACTCTAAAAGTAAAGAGCTTTTCCTTAGAATAATCAGCCCAGTAAAAGGATAAATAATCCTAACTTGTTTTAGGTAGGAGAGAAAATTCTGAAAGGAAGGTTTGAAGAGCAGGAAACTACTTGGACAGTAAAGGGTAAATATGATGAAGATGCTGGAAACACTTTGGCCCACCTGTTTGATTTTGTGAACAGGGAAAAAGCGTTTTGGGACATGGTTCTTTGTATAGCCTGCCAACAATTTATTCAAAAAATAAACTCATAGGGAATATGCTCCCAGGTAATTAATTAAGTGCCACCACAGCAGACCATAAAACTGGATAAGACTTCCTAAGACTTTGATTTTTCTCTGATTTTTAAGGAGCTGCCAATATTGAGGGTTCCAGACAAGAGTTTGGTAGTTTTATTCACCATGTTTTCCTCTACCTGCAACAATATACTAGGTGACACTTTGTAGGTATACTTACCTAATATTGAGCCACATTAGTGAGAGGATATATTCACTCTAAAGCCCTAGTCAGACTAAAAATGTATAAATTTTATACATCTACAACTTTGAGATAAGGTCTTGCTCTGTTGCGTAGTCTGGAGTCGAGTGGTGTGATCTTGGCTCACTGCAACTCCCACCTGCTGGGTTCAAGCGATTCTCCTGCCTCAGCCACCCAAGTAGCTGGGACTACAGGCACCCGCCACCACACCCAGCTAATTTTTGTTTTAGTAGAGAGGGGGTTTCACCATGTTGGCCAGGCTAGTCTCGAACTTCCTGACCTCAGTCGATCTGCCCACTTCAGCTTTCCAAAGTGCTAGGATTACAGGTGTGAGTCACCACACCCAGCCTACATCTAGAACTTAATAGCAAAATAGAAACTGGATTTAAGTTGTGTTTAAGTTGTAATTAAAGGGCAGCAAAACTTAATTGGCAGATTTCTGCATGGATATGTTTTGGTTTCCTAACTACCATTTTGAAAGCATGTTCTTGAATCATCTTTACTTGAAAGCTCTACATCTTGTAAGTAGAGTTGATGGGTTTAATTCTTAATACTTTTGTAGGCCAGGTACGGTGGCTCACACCTGTAATACCAGTACTTTGGAAGGCCGAGGTGGGTGGATCACCTGAGGTCAGGAGTTCGAGACCAGCCTGGCCAACATGGTGAAAACCCTTCTCTACTAAAAATATAAAAATTAGCTGGGTATGGTGGCGGGTGCCAACATGGTGAAAAACCATTTCTACTAAAAATACAAAAAATAGCCGGGTGGTGTGGTGGTTCATGCCTGTAATCTCAGCTACTTAGGAGGCTGAGGCAGGAGAATTGCTTGAGCCTGGGAGGCGGAGGTTGCAGTGAGCGAGATTGTGCCATTGCACTCTAGCCTGGGCATCATGAGTGAAACTCCCATCTCAACAAAACAAAACACTTTTGTAAATGTTAATGCTCTCTGTGCTGTAGTAACCTGAATCTGTGGTACTTTGTCTTCATTAAGATTCTTAGGAACAGTAAAAATCTTAAATGCTTTTTTTTTTTTTTTCCTGCCTCAGCCTAATGTGTAGCTGGGATTACAGGCAAGTGCCACCACGTCTAGCTAAAGTTTTTTTGTATTTTTTTTGGAGAAATGGGGTTTTACCATATTGGCCAGGCTGGTCTCGAACTGCTGACAGTGATCTCCCCATCCCAGCCTCCCAAAGTGCTGGGATTACAGGTGTGAGCCACTGTGGCTGACCAAAAATCTTGAATGCTGTTTTAATGTAACTGTTAGAATCTTGTTTAAAAGTTCCAGGTACAGTTGTCCTCGGTTGTTTTTCCTATGAGACCAAGTTCTTTGATTTGCACTGGACAAAAACTTGGTACAAGAATCCTTGTCTCTTCAAGGCAGTTCTGGAAATCCAAAATCCCGTACTGTTTTCCCAGAGCAGTTTTCCTTAGAATCTGGTAGAAGTTGGTGTTGCCCGAGTTTAGCCGCTAGATGGTGATAATGTACAGAGCCAGTTTTCTTGTGACATTGTGAAGACAATTAGGTGGTTAAAGAGGCAGAATTCTTCTGGAATGGTTAGGCACTATTATCAGGAGTAGACAGGCTAAATGAGAGGCATGAAAATAAGTTCTCTCTATTTGAGGAAGACTCTCCCTCAATGCAGGAGGCAGAAATGGTATGGTGGAGAGCTTCTCGTGACTGGGTTATTTTCAGACTGTTGTGGGACTAGTTTTTTTTAAAAAAAAGGTAAAATGAATTCCTAGACAAAGTAAGACCAAAGACACATGAAATACTACAAGCTCCAATTTTTAAAATTAGATTTTACAGAAACAAAAACCCTCTGACAAATTGCTTTAAAAGTTTCTAAAAGCTTCCTGTCAGTATCTGTACTTTTCCTCACAGACCAGTAACATCTGGTTGGCAGGCACTGGTCTGAGGACCACACTTTGAGTGGTGCCAAAAAGCCTGTATAGTGCATTCAATTCAGGCAGCAGAACCTGGGTTCAAGACCTGACTTCATTACTACTAGCTGGGTAGCCAGGGAAAGCTCACTTAACCTTTCTAAGGTCCAATTACTCATTTGGATCAGGTTAATTATATCTATGATTAAGCTTTTTATGAGAGCTCAATAATAATGTACTAACCTCTCAGGAACCACTTGAATGTTAGTTGAAACTGAATCACATAATTGGTACATTTACATATTAAACATGAATTTTTTTCTCCGATATCCACTCCATCTTCTTACTGACTGGTGTTTTCTCCATGAATAGAAACGTGTTCAGTTGATCATCAAATACTTAAAGGACCTTGAAAGCTTGTCTGGCTCTAATTAAAGCACAGCTACTTGGTGACCTTAGCAGGAACCTGTCCTCTCTCGAAGTGCAGCCTCTTCCACTGCGCTGACAGCTTTGTGGGAAGAGGGAGAACTGGAGGAAGCAGTGAAGAAGTCAGAAGGTACCTGTTTACTCAAACATGTCTGTAGCTATACACCTCCATAACCCAGACCTTAGAAGAACCGCTGAAACACTAGGCTATCAGTTTAAAGTCTAGGTGATTACAAAACCCAGGAAAGACTGGTACATAAACTAGATTAGGCAAGATCAAGGATGACAATTTGTTTTGATTAATCATTATCCCTGCCATTCACTGTGACCTGCCAAACATATACAACTTCCATCTTTACAGTGGTCCTGACAGATGAATCATTTTAGAGATAAGCAAAGTAGGGTATAGAAATGTTAGGTTGCTCAAATAACAGGAGCCAGTTACTAGCTAGTGCCAAAATGCCAGCCAGAAATGTGTGTTAACACTGGATTTGCCACATCTAGAAGCACAACCACTGGTGTCCAAACAAATCTCTCAAGTTAGGTGAATGGAATGTAATCAGACTATACTAAACCTGGTTCCAAAAGTTATACAACTTGTAAAGTCAGTCTAAACTACCAAGACGCACTTAGAAGTGTAACTGCCATACCAGAAAAAAGAGCTCCCACCACGAAAATGTCATTGAAGGTATTTATTTTTGAAGGTATTTTTAAAATCTTGGCACACCGTATCTATAACTGGGTCCAAAGGTTCTACATAACTGATGTTAACAAAGGCTACAAATTAAAACAGCCTTGGAAATTGAAATAAAGGTCACCTAACTTGATCACTTTGGTCAATATAGTACGAATTTCAGCTTCTTTCCAACAGAAAAGTCCTGAGATGTTAATATGCAGTGATTCTGCTGATGTGCATTTTGTCTTTCTGCACTAAGGAAGAAAGGCTAAGAAATTAAGGAAGAAAGGCTAAGAAATTGATGAAATCACCCCGTGAAAACCAGATGCTGGTGATGAGAGGAAAAAAGAGCAGTAGAATTAAGGTTTCATAAACTAGAGTGTGTTGTTGTTGTTGTTGTTTTGAGACAGAGTCTTGCTCTGTCACCCAGGCTGGAGTGCAGTGGTGTGATCTCAGCTCACTGCAACCTTCACCTCCCGGGTTCAAGCAATTCTCCTGCCTCAGCCTTCTGAGTAGCTGGGACTAAAATTAGCCACCATGCATGGCTAATTTTTGTATTTTTAAGAAGAGATGGGGTTTCACCATATTGGCCAGGCTGGTCTCAAAACACCTGACCTTGTCATCTGCCCACCTTGGCCTCCCAAAGTGCTGAGATTACAGGTGTGAGCTGCCGTGCCTGGCCGATAGTGTTGTTTCTGTTAGGTAAAGGGATTTCTTCATATGTTATTTTAATGAAAGGGAATTTCATAGGTAAAAACCAATATTCAAAATTATAAAACAAATAAAACTGTCTGTGCACAATCACTGCATCAAAAATTTGCAAGAGACTCAACAGAAATTCTTTAGTTGATAAATGCGGTTTGAAGGGGTAATAAAATTTTTTTATGGCTAAAGCAAGAGTCTTGTTTCCTGTTGGCCCAAAAACAGATGTTTCATTTCCCAGATAAGTAGGTTCTCCACTGTAAAGAAATATTCTTGTATAGTTGGTTTCTATTTTCTTGAACTCTGCTCCAAATTCAGCCAACTTGTTATAGGTCCTTAACACAAATTTGGAACAGTCATAGGAATCAAACCACGTTTCTGCACCTTCTTCTGGGCTGGCTTTTACAGTCCATGTCTCATAATAAATTCCTGTTTCGTTGTCCTGTTTCACCCACTTTGCCATTTTGTTGAACATGTTTCCTAGTTTAAAAAACAAAAAATCACCTAGTGAACAAAGTTAACCATGTTAATATTTTTTTTTGAGACAGGTCTCCCTCTGTTGCCCAGGCTAGAGTGCAGCGGTACAATTACAGCTCACTGCAGCCTTGACCTCCCGGTCTCAAGTGATCCTCTCACCCTCAAGTGATCCTCCCACCTCAGCCTCCTGACTATCTGGGACTACAGGTATTGGCCACCAAACCCAACTAATTTTTAATTTTTTTTTTAAATTTGAGACCAGCCTGGGCAACAGGGTTTTGCTGTGTTGCCCAGGCTGGTGGTCTCAAACTCCTGGCCTCAAGTGATCCTCCTGCTTTAGCCTTCCAAAGCACTGGGATTACAGGTATGAGCTACCATGCTCAGCCTAAAAGTGTAAAATGTTTTAACTTAAGACTATGGATGCATGTGAGAAATGATGGTTTTGAATTTCCAAACTTGCATTTCATAACAGGAATCCAAGCTCAGCCAATTTTTATCCCATTTTTCAAGGCACGCTAAATTATAAACATTAGACATGATAGGTGTATAAAGAGAAGTTGTCTTACATGCTAATTCTGCAATCATTTAAGCTACAATCAAAGCAAAATTATACAAATGCAGAAGCTCTCTTTCTGTACCCAACTCACCAAATACTGGATTCAGAGGCAAATGAGAAAAGGAAAGCAAAAAAAAGAATTGTGAAAGGGGAAAAGTTGAATGGGCAAAGACAGTGTAAGAAAACTGGAGGTGTGGGAAAGGTGAGCTTTTCTGTTGCAAAGCATGCTATGCATAAAGTATGCATGGCTGCCTCAGGAGCTGCTGCTCTAGAAGGCTGGCTATTACTGTTAGGAGAACAAGCACCATATCCCATCTACCTTGCATGTTTAGTACTTCTCTTTTTTCCCTGTAGTTGGAGTTGTTGGGATGCTGCTGAACTCTTCCCCCCATCACAGAAATTCTTCCAACAAATCAACTAAACTAAAAATATTTTAGGCTGAGTTCATGGACTATGCAGACTCCAGAATGGCTAACCCTCTCTCCTACGATCTTGTACCAGACCAGAATAATCTCTCCAAATATTTAGAAAACACTACTCTGCATGGTTACAACTCTCATCTTGGGCATTTATTTATAATGCCTAATAGAGCCAGGCCCCAAACACTGCATTCTGTCACTGTATAAAAACCTTTCTTTGGTTATTCCAATTTGAGTCTATAAAATAAATACTTCATGTTCTGTAAAATGAATATAGAGTAGCTACCTTTATAAATTTTATGGAAATAAAATTGTGGAACAGAATAAAGCCTGTTGTATTAGAACTGGGGATACTGTTCTTAGTGTTCTTCAACTTTCAAAAGCCACCGCTATACTTAAGAGACAAGATGCTTCAAACACTATTTTGTAACGTGAAGAGAGGTCAATCACAGGATTATTCACAAGGCAAATCGATGTTCTGAAAGATTTAAGTACTGATATATGGAAATATTTTACAAATACAGTGATCACTTGTTCATATGATCATTGACTTTATGTCAGAAGAAAGGGTTTTCAGACAATGATGTAGGCATAAGTGGGGAAAGGTGTGAACAGGCCTGGAATGAAAAAGCAGTTAATGCTTTTACTGAGCTGTGTTAAAAGAGGGATAGACTTTTGTATTGGGATGGTTTAAGGCACATCAATTAGAAAGTAGAAGAACTGATTAGAAAACAACATGGTGGATTCAGCTAAAATATCCCTAAGTTACATTTAAAAGACCTCAGTTTTATTCCTGATTCTGCTATGTCCAGCTCTTTGACCTTGAGAGGCAGGTAAGTCATGTTACCTAGCTGGGCCTCAATTCCTTCTTTGTAGAGGATGAGTATCTTACCCTCTCCCTTGAACTGTGAGTTAACACACCTCGAAATCATTGGTAAAGAGCTGTACAAATAGGAAGTATGATTGCTTCCTCAACTCCTGGGGTTCACTGAATCATTTCCACAACAGTGCTTTCATTTCACATGTTTCTACTTTTCTGGGGAACAGCATTTTATAATGTAATGCTCCATAAATTATATGGACAAGCGCCTTACTTTTCAAATGCTATGGTAGTATCATCTCCATTTTACACATGAGGCAATGGGCCAGTAAGGTAAAATGTGACCCAAGTCACATAAGGAGTTACTAATGAAAGATTTGCTTAACTCCTTTCGTTACTAAACAATAATGCGGCATTCGCAACAAAATTCCAACTCTCAGCAACTTTCCAATACATCCAAAAGAAGGAAAAATCTCAGAGACAAAATATTTAAACCGCTTAAGGGGGCCTCAAATATAAGATCATATATATTTTGGGAGGCAATGTACCAAAGTAGTTAGGAGAATGGGCAATGGGGTTTGACTGCCAGGGCTGGAGTCCCACTTACTAAGCTTTGTAACTTTAACCTAAGCTGGGTAACTTTAATTGCTCTGTGCCTCAGTTTGTCCATCTGTAAAATGGGCAAAATAATAGTAACTACCTCCAGAAGTTGTCATGATGAATGATGTGATATAGGTACTCAGAACAGTGCCAGAACCAGTCTTTATGAATAGTAGCTATTATTTTTCAACATAAAAATATCATCACTAAATTTTTTCAGATATAGTTAACATATCCTTTAATCAGGCATTTTATGGATTTCTTTTCCCTATTTCTTTTAGAAAATCCAATTTAATTGTAGAAAATATTTTATCATTTGTTTTTATGACAGGAAAAGAACATTTTTAGGGAAACATTCAAAGCTCAGAGATAAGCTGCTCATCACCTACAAGTGAAGTTCTGCATGAGTAATAGCAAATGAAACAAAAACAAAGATAAGTAGATGAGAGTTAATTAAACTAAAAAGCTTCTGCACAGCAAAAGGAACAATCAGCAGAGTAAACAGACAACCCATAGAGTGGGAGAAAATCTTTGCAATCTACACATCTGATAAAGGACTAATATCCAGAACCTACAAGGAACTCCAATCAGCAAGAAAAAAGCAATCCCATGGGTGGCTCACACCTGTAATCCCAGGACTTTGGGAGGTGGCTGGATCATCTGAGGTCAGGTGTTCGAGACCAGCATGGCCAACATGGTGAAATCCATTTCTACTAAAAATACAAAAATTAGCCGGGCATGGTGGTGGGTGCCTGTAATCCCAGCTACTTAGGAGGCTGAGGCTTGCTTGAATCCAGGAGGCAGAGGTTGCAGCATGCTGAGATCATGTTATTGCACTACCGCCTGAGCAACAAGAATGGAACTCCATCTCAAAAATAAAAAAATTTAAAAAGCAGGGGAAGAGGAAGGTAGCTAAGGACACAAATAGACAGTTCTTAAAAGATATACAAATGGCCAAACAAACATGAAAAAATAACCAACATTACTAATGATCAGGGAAATGCATATCAAAACCACAATGTGATACCACCTCACTCCTGCAAGTATGGTCATAAACAAAAAATTTAAGGAAAGGAAAATAGATGTTGCCGGGATGTGGTGGAAGGGGAAGAGTTCTACACTGCTGGTGGGAACGTACATTAGTACAACCACCATGGAAAACTGTGGAGATTCCTTAAAGAACTAAAAGTAGAATTACCATTTGATCCAACAATCCCACTGCTGGATATCTACCCAGAGGAAAAGAAGTCATATATGAAAAAGATACTTGCCCATGCATGTTCATAGCAGCACAATTTGCAATTGCAAAAATACCAGCTTATCAATCAATGAGTGGATAAAGAGAATTGGTGTCTATATAGTGAATAAATGAAAATGTGGTGTTTATACATACACACACACCATGGAATACTACTCAGCCATAAAAAGGAATGAAATAATGACATCTGCACCAACTTCGAATAATGGTCTCCAAGTACATCCAAGTGAAGTAACTCTTCAGGAATGGACTGTATGTGCTCACTCGTAAGTGGGAACCAAGCTATGAGGATGCAAAGGCATAAGAATGATGAACTTTGGGAATTCAAAAGAAAGGGTGGGAGAGGGGTGACTACACATTGGGTACAGTGTACACTGCTTGGGTGACGGGTACACCAAAATCTCAGAGATCACCACTAAAGAACTTAGTCATGTAACCAAATGTATCCAGGTTTTTTGGGGTACAGGGGAGGCACAACTCCCCCAAGAGAATGTTACAGGTTTTTGATCTCCGCTATCTCCAAAATGAGAGAGGGGACCACTGCAGGTGCACAGTAAGCTTATAAAGTAAATATTGGACCCAAGAAGTGTTGCAGAAAGGTGATTTTATTTAGGTAGAGAAAAGAGAAAAAGAGAAGAAGAGAGAAAACTTCTGTGAAGAGTGTGGAAGGGGACCCCAGAGGGGAAATCCAGCTGGATGTGGGGACAAGGACTTTTAACATGGGAGGAATTACCTCCTCCTTAGGTCCCCCCACCACCCTGGGCAATGAAAAAGAGTTCCTTTAAACTTCCGCTGGGGTGACTGACTTTTAGTTTCTTCCCGTGCCCACAAAATTTAAACATAAACCGTTAAATCTCCCGGATGGAGAGAGATGGGAGGGAGGCATGGCGCTGGGAAGTTCTTGTCCTTAAAGCTATGCCCTCTTGTGAACCCAGAAAAGAACACCTTCCCTCACAAACATCACCGGTTCTCTACAAACCTATTGAAATAAAATACAAAATAAATGAAAAAAATACTCCCAACGTTTAGTGGTTCCAGGAGTGCATTTTTCAAATGACCTCTAAGTAAAACATTAGTGAAATGTTTCAATGGAAGTATTATAATTTCTTTCATTTGGATTTTGATGTAGTTTATCAAATATTGCCATACTTTGAAAACTTACCTGATATAGTTGCTACTTGAACTAATGTCCCATTTTCCTTCCAGTGAGCATCCTCAATTCCCTCAAAAAAGCAGGCAGCGCCTTGATTACACCAGAAAGGGGCATCCATTTCCGGTCGGAGATGGGGAAATGTACAGTTGCCAAGTTGGAAAAGTTCATACCATTCCATTGTGTAGTTCTTGCCAGTTAATGTACTCCTGAATCCAATGGCATCGTGCATAATTTTCTGTGTAAAGACAATACATGTATAAGAGCAACTGTGACATAAGCATGGGTCCAGGTAACCTGATAGGAGAAAATGTGGCACATCACAAATGTGTATCAAGTAGAACAACTGTCTTCCATGCTGCTACTGTCATATCCACTCTGTGGCCCCAGACTCCAGGCCCTCATCCATCCTGGCTATGGCCAGTGCAGCTCATCTCAAACAGGAGGCACGCATGTTATGTGGACAAGCTCATAATTTCCTTAGAGCATAGAGCAGGCGTCCTCAAACTACGGCCCCCTGAGGCCATTTATCCGGCCCCCAGCCACACTTCAGGAAGGGGCATCTCTTTCATTGGTGGTCAGTGAGAGGAGCACAGTATATGGTGGCCCTCCAACGGTCTGAGGGACAGTGAACTGGCCCCCTGTGTAAAAAGTTTGGGGATGCCTGGCGTAGACTAAGTGTGAGGAGCCCCCATGCTGGTCTCAGGAAGGAACTCTACGGACCTCACATGGTGATGGGTTAATCTGGAAAAGTGACAACAGGATCTGGAAATTGAGAGGTGTGTCCTGCCTGCCTTGCCCCTTCTGGGCCTCTTCTCATCTTCCAGGAGCTGGGTACAGGAGCTGGGTTCAGATTCATGACATCACAACAGATAATGGTGATTACATGTTACTGTTAGGATTACAAAATCTGACAGTTACTATTTTTGATTACTCAAATGTGCTAAGAGAAGCACCAATAAACATGATCTAAAGTCAGCCATCTAAATAGAGATTACTCCCTAAAAATCAACTTAATAACCAAATCACTGAATTAACTAAAGTTCTAAGACCAAGATGGCATCCTTACCAAGTGTCCCAGGAGGTCTCCATATTTAAATTCCCATACTGGGGCTTGTAATCGAAAGACTTCAATATCATCATCATCCTTCATAACTGGGATAGGTGAGCCAGTTGGACAGAAAGTATACTTAGCTTGACAATAAGGATCAGGTTTTGGTCGGAAGTCAAAGCGTCTAATAAAGAAAAATAAACCATTTACTTAGATTCTAACAGGAATTGGTTCTCCTCACACCTTTTAGAATCCAGTTAACAGTTTTAGGGCACCATTCAATGGTCAGACCATAGTTAATAAATATAAACATACATTTTGTTATCTTTTGAGAACTTGCAATAATGTTTTTTAATAACAAATGATAAAAGGACTCTGATAATATATGCTTTCCTGTTCCCTGATCCCACTGTGAAAATTTTGAAGACGGAAATCTTGTCTTAAACTTTTTATAGCTCCAAATCATAGTAGACATTTGCAAATGTTTACAGAATAAATGAACATTTTTCCAATGTGCTCAATTTTACAAACAATCCATACATTAAGATTATTCAGATAATTATAAGTAATAGAATATATTTTATATTTACTTACAAATTAACATTCATTCAATATTTGCCGAGGCTCTACTAGATGTACAGTAACTATAGTAAGAAGGAGGGAAACAAAACACTGTTCCCTGTCTCATGGAACCTTGGGTGGGAGCTGGAAAGACATTAAACAAGTAACGAGTGTGGTATGTGCTAGACTGAAGAAATGAGTCCTATCGGCTCAACGGAAAGACAAATCACTGTGAGATGAATGGGGTGGGAAGGGCAAAGAGATGATGAAGGCCCGGCATAGGTTTTTAATGTAATTGGGCAGAAGGTTAAGGCAGAAGGCAGAGGAAACATTAGGTATTGTAAGACAAGCCTGGCACATTTGGTCTCCAGTATGTATGTAAGATTAGAATTCAGGCTTTGAGGCAGGAGTAGAGGCAGAAGAGATTGGCAGGGGCTGTCATTTTGTCACTAGGAGAGTGTGCATCCAATTCCCTGGAGCCTTAACTGAAGACGGCTGAGCTCAAAGGATGTTAAGTAGCAGATCTGGTAAGACTGAATTTGCTATAAAGTAAATCTTATTTCATGAATTAAAAGAGGGTAGGGCGAGAGGCCAAATTAAACATGAGAGATCAGTTAGAAGGTGACCTCAACAGTGCAGGCAAGAAAAGAAGACGGGAGAAGGCCACAGCAATAGGGCCTGAGGGGCCATTGCAGTTGAATTCAGCTCAACAGACACACTGGTCACCAATAATCTGGCACTGGAAGAGAAAGCAGTGGTGGCAGGGTGGTGGCAACAGCTTCCATCTAAGAATCCCCACAGTTCTAGCCAGATCTACCGTTTTACTATCCTAAAAAATAAATAAAAATTTCTATTTTAACTTAAGAAGTTGAAATCTTTATGCTAACCAAAGCTATTAACTCTCCCAAAAGTTTCTGCCACTTGGGTACAGTGTTTTAGAGGCACTTACCTAGTTTAAACAAATACATAATCACATAGAGATTTCACTTACGCACAGCAAAATCTATTTTAGTTCAAAGGTAACGTAAAACGTATGATTTAAGTGTGAACTTAATAAACAAATATTATATTCAATTGAAACTTAGATGGGGGCATGTACTTAATATCTGAGACTAAAAACAAACAAACAAAAAAACCAAAAGAAACTCCCACTAAAAAGCCATAGTAAACACCTTGCCCTAATGTTCAATCAAATCGTTTGGATTTACAACTCTTCCTACTGACCAATTTTTACTTCTTATAAACATTTTATTATTAACATTTTCAAGAAAACTAGTTTCAACCGCAAACCTCTCTTTCCCCGTAGTGTATCTATCGAGCAAAACAAAAAAGTGCTGCAGACCTTTCAGGGAGCAGAATACACTAATATCTAGGTTTGACAACAGCTGGCATTTACTAGATTTAATCCTCCCAGCAAACCTATGAGGTAAGTGCTACTACTATTCCTAATTTTCGACTCAGGCCATGCGGGCACAGAGATTCTGAGTAACCTTCCCAAGATCCCTGGTGATGACGGAGCCAGATTTGACCTGCAGCAGGCAGAACCTAAAACTCGCTCCCCACAAAGAGGAAATCCTGCCTTCCAACTCATTACTCTGCGTGCAAAATAACTGTGTTTTCAGGTTTATTGTGTGCAGTTTTAGCTGTTGATTACTTAGTCTAGTAAGTTAAAATTATGTCCGTTATAACTTGAATTAAAATAATGACGCCTCTGGTTTTTTTTTAAAAAAATAACTGTTTTCAAAAACTGCTGGTCTTTCTCCTGCCTGATGGTGACACCATGTTTTCTTTCTCTGTGTGTAGCTACCTCTGACCGCCAGAGGCTGTGTCTTCTATCACAAAGGCTGGAATCGGCCTCCCAGGTGTGCGGGTCTGTCCTCGACTTAGGACCGGTGTCCTACCTTGAGGCTGAAGACCGGACAAACGCGGTGACAATCTTCCCGGTCTGCCCAGGACTACAGGAGACGAGGATCCCGGTATGCGGGACTTTGAGTGCAAAAACTGGGAAGTCCCAGGCCCAATAAGGACTTCAGGTTCAAACCAGAGCGAGTTGGTCGTCCAGTAAACTGTGCCAAATGTTCCGAAGTAATGATAACTAACGACAGTGGATGAATAAGAAATCAGACAGTCTTTTTTTAGACCACTCAAGAAATGAGCTACTTGTACCTAGAAGTCCCTCCATGAAATAGCATTACTCTCCTCTTCTTCTTCCACGATTTGGGACGGTCCTGAGTCTGCCCCAAGCGGCCAGAGGGGAGGAAAGGTCCCAGGGCTGCGCGTCACAAGCGGCTGCGACTTCCCATTCCTCAATTTCGCTCTCGCGTGCGCTCCGAGCTTCTCCCGGCGCGGCCCCCGCACCGTCACGTGACCCGACACAACCCGCAGCGCGCGGGGCTCCCCGGCCCCGCACCGCCACCTCCCGCATCGCCGTCCCCGACCCGGACCTTGCACGCACCGCCACACTCACTTGTAGGGCTCCGGCCAGTGGCGCCGGGAGGGACTGCCCGAAGCCCGGAGCCAGCCCGGAGCCGCCGCGAGGCAGAGCAGCGCCAGGGCCCAGCCCCGGGAAGCACGTCCCCGGGCCCCGCCCGCGCCCCGCCGCATCTCGACGCCCAGTGCGGTGTCTCCCGCCGGCGCCATCAGGCTGCCCCCAGCGCTTCCGGCGCCTCCCGACCCCCGCGACGCCGGAGGGCGGAGCTTGCGCAGAGCCGCCGGCCCGGACGCAGACCGCCGTGCCCCGCGCGGGCCGCAGGGCTTGCTGGCGAGCCGGGTTCCGGCGCGTGACTCCTCCCTGCGCCCCGCCCGCGGCGGCTTCCACGCTCCGCAGTCCGGGAAGGCGCTTTGGTCTGGCTCCTCCGAGAATTCCATCCAGACCCGGGGCTCCTCTTTTATGAACTGACCTGTCCCCACCCACCAGCCACCACCAAAACCAAAACAAAACCAAAAATCAGTCTCCAGGGCTCCTCCTAACCCCGAACTTTTACCGCATTCCACAGGGCCCACGGTAGGTGTCAACAAACGTTGAGTGAATGCGAATGTTTCTTTGGGGCTGGAGGTGCAGGGCTGGGGGGTGCAGTGAGGAAGAAGGGACAGTAGTGGGGAAATGCCTCCTCCTCACCGACCTGGTCCTGTGATAACAGTGGTTAACACTGACAGTGTGTGGTCCCTGCCACTACGCGAGTGCATAGTGGGGAAATGACTGGTCCTCACTCGACTTGGGCCACAGGTAGCAGTGGTGAAACCCACAATGTGTGGTCCCTGCCACTACCTGAGCGCTGCGGAATCCACCCCTCCCCTACTGCTACCCTCTCCGCCCCGTGTTTGTTCCATGTTTGGATCTGTCACTTCACTGGGAGGAAACTTCTGCATCACCTTCTCTTCTTTGACTCTTCAGCCACTTCAAGAAAACAATGGCTTCCATTGCCCGGCTTTTGAGGAGTCTGTCTTGGCCTCCTTGCTGTTAGGCACAAATACGGACTTACGAGTACATTCAAGGCCTGTGAATAAGCCACTGCGCTTCAGCCTGGGCAACATAATGAGATACCATGTAGTCACTTGTTTTTTGTTCTTCTTCTTCTTTTTTTTAACCAGAGAGCAGTTTTGCAGAGACTTAGACCAGGACTACTTTCCAGTTCCTTCATTTCACCCACAACACGTGTGAAGCATCATAATGTTTGTAAGGCTATGGGAATAAGCAAGATGGCTTCAGTAGCCAGAGATCACCACCACAATCCATCGGAGGGTATGTGGCTTGGGGTTTGTCACTGACTTCCTCAGGCCCTCCAGGTCTCCTGATTACAGATGGGACTTAGTGCCCTGCCCCAAACACACAAGTGCTTTGCCCACTTGCTGCACCAGTTTCGGGAGGTTCTGCGGAGGTTCAGACGGGCTGCATTTTACCATCCATTTGTCTAAGTGTTTTGATACTTACCATCCTAGCTGTCCTCCATATACTATCGCCAAATTCAAATTATCAAGGCTAAACTGGCTTCTCCAAAGCCCTACCCAAGATGAGAGGGGAAAGCATTCTAGCCCTGAGAGCTGAAATGGAATGTCTGATTTGAAGGACACCTGCAGGATTCCCTGTAGACCACACTTGAGCCTGGCTTAAAAAGCAATTAGAATCAACAGCTTAAAAAAGAAAAAAAAGCATTAATTAGAGCGTTCACAAATAGTGGAACTGTACACAGTAGAACTTCCCATTCAGTTCAGGACTTCCCAGAGCTACAAAAACAAATTCAGGTTGACCTTGGTCAGTGGTGGGGACCTCTGGTCTTGCCTCTGTGCTCTCTTCCCTCTGTGTGCCGAGAGCTCTCATGGTAAGAAGTATTTCCAAGTATTGCTCTTTTTTTTTTTTTAAGATGGAGTCTCCTTCTGTTGTTCAAGCTGGAGTGCAGTGATGCGATCTTGGCTCACTGCAACCTCCGCTTCCAGGGTTCAAGTGATTTTCTTGCCTTAGCCCACCTAGTAGCTGAGATTACAGGTGTATGCCACTATGCCGAGCTAATTTTTTTTTTTTTTTTTTTTTTTTAATTAGAGACAGGGGTTTCACCGTGTTGGCCAGGCTGATTTTGAACTCCTGATTTCAAGTGATCCACCGCCTTGGCCTCCCAAAGTGCTGAGATTACAGACATGAGCCACCATGCCTGGCCCTAGTATTGGTCTTAACTCAGCATCTTGGAAGCTTCCTTTCCACTGCTCTGGTTTTGCCTTGGGTGGGAACAGTAATCAAACCCTATTCCTTTTGCCTGTGACCCCACATCCCAAGCTAAAGGTGCTCATAGGTTATCATTGCCCAATACTGGTTACTTCCCCCACAGGCAGAACTGAGTTTCAATTTAATTGGTTTCCCTTGAGTCCTTGCCCAGTCAGCCTAAGACTGCTTGGACCCCATGGCATCTCCCCAAATAGAGTTACAGGATTCTGGGGAAGTCTGGAGTTGAGATGAAATTTAAATAAGCAGTATTTTGGTAGGCTCAAAGCAAAACAAGGCTGTCAGTGATGGCAGCGGCTGCTTCAGACAGCCTGCTGCTGCCATCAACACACAGGCTCTAGGTCTAGACTGCAAAGTGGACGAGGGTCCTATTTCCTTGGGGACTATGAAGTTAAAATAGCGATGGAATTTTGTGTCTGGAAACCCCTTATCAGAAGCTTGGCATCTGGTTTGTAAATTGAGGCCAATTCTCTGTGTGAAATCACTGAGGTCCTTCAGGCAAAGGTGAGATATTTTATTGTTACTAATGCAATTTCAAACAGGAAGTTGTCTCCAAGTCTAATTTTAGAGAACAAAATTTCTCATGGAATAAGAAAGCAGGAAGCCAGGCAAGGTGGCTTGCATCTGTAGTTCTAGCTACTCAGGAGGCTTGAACCTAGGATTTTGAGGCTATGGTGAGCTATAATCATGACCGTATATCAGGCTGGGCAACATAGTCAGATGCTGTCTCAAAAAAAAAATTTTTTTTAAGTTAAAAAAAAAAGGAGGTTGTTACGACACTTTATGATTTACTGTGGTTTGAGGGAAATATTGTTTTCTGGTGATTCTGAGGCCGGTTTTGTCAGTCCAGGCTAATAAATAGCAGGGCAGATTAAAGTCCAAGCTAATTTTTAGTTTCTTACTTACAATCTCATTTTTAATTTTAGGTGTTAAAAAACATTTTTCTGAGAAGGGGCTTCACCAGGTTGCCTAAGAGCTGCTGCCCTAGACACACTAATCTCCTACCCTATTTTTTTTTTTTTTTTTTTTTTCCTGAGACAGGTTCTCACTTTGCCACCCAGGCTGGAGTGCAGTGGTGCAATCACAGCCACTGCAGCCTCAGCTTCCAGGCTTAAGTGATCCTCCCACCTCAGCCCCTGGAGTAGCTGGACTGCAGGCGTGTACCACCATCTTCAGATAATTTTAATTCTTTTGTGATGAAAAGGCGTCTCACTATGTTGTCCAGGCTGGTCTCGAATTCCTGGGCTCAAGTGATCCTCCTGCCTTTGCCTTCCAAAACGCTGGAATTACAGGCATAAGCCACTGAACCTGGCCCTGACAGAAATTTTAATGTAAGAGGTTGAGAAAATCTTGAAAGTAACCAAAAATTAACGAACCCCCAAAGTGTTTATGAAACTTGGGAATACTTACCTGTTGTATACATTATTAACCTGGCTAAACAAATACATGAACTATATGTAGGTCCTGTTTTCAGAGTTTTGACAATTTCACTTGCCTAAAGCATAATTTATTTTAGTTCAAAGATTATTTTATTTTCATTTTTATTTTGAGACAGGGTCTTGTTCTGTTGTCCAGGTTACAGTGCAGTGGCATAATCATGGTTCTCTGCAGCCTTGACCTCTCAGGCTTAAGCGATCCTCCTACCTCACCTCCTGAGTAGCTGGGACTACAGGCCTGTGCTACCATGCCTGGCTAATTAGAGAAAAACTTTGGTAGAGTTAGAATTTCACTTTGTTGCCCAGGCTGGTCTCAAGCTCCTGGTCTCAAGTAATCATCTTGCCTCAGCCCCCGAAAGTGTTGGAATTATAGTCATGAGCCACTGTGCCTTACCCAAAGATAATTTTGCAAGCATAATTTAAGTGTGAATTTAATAAAGTTAAAAATTATAATATTCACTTAAGGAAGAGATTAAAGTGGGACATCTTAACATATGATATTTAAAAACAAACTGTGGAGCCATAATGAACACCTCACTCTAATTCTAAAGCAAGTGATTTGCATTTATAATCTTTTGCTTGTCACATTATCTTTTTTTAGACAATTCTTTAATCTTATACTTGTTTATTGAATATATTTTTTACTTCTGTTGTGATCAGTTTATCAATATCCTCAAGAAAACTGGCATCAGAACAGAAACTCTTTATGTTGTTAAATAAAATGTATGAGAGGCCATGGTTTTGGACTGAGCTCCTGCCTTAGGTCAAAACAGATTGAACCAAAATGGGTCACTTGTGCTAAGTGTCATGTAATCAAACTGAAACTTAAACAGGAAAATTCCCCTCTAGACTTGTATTTCCTAAAAACCAGAGATTCACAGCAACCATTCAAAAAAGCCCCAGTCAGCCTGAGTCAGCATGATAAGGACGTCTTCTCTGCTTTAACCCTTTACAGGGAAAGTAACCTAAAGTAACCTGATGTTAACCAATTCAGTTTTTTTTGTTTCCCTAGTTCTGTTCAAGCTACCTTAGGTAAACCAACTGGTCTGCCAGGCTGACCAAAGCTCCCTCTATTTTGAATAGGAACTGCCTAATTTATGAATCATTAGTAGAGATGGGTTTTGCCATGTTGGCCAGGCTGGTCTGGAACCCTGGCCTCAGGTGATCCACCCACCTGGGTCTCCCAAAGTGCTGGGATTACAGGTGTGAGCCACTGTGCCCAGTGAAAATTTGTTTTTTTAAAATCAACATTTATCAAGGAAACTAAAGCGGTGCAAACCATTTGGTGAACAGAAATACAGTAGTATCAGGGTTTTGACACAGATGACATTTACCTTTTTTAATCTTTCCAACAATCCTACGAAAAAGGTGCTACTTCCTACTTTCAGATTGAGGAAATTTTGGTACAGATATTTTAAGTAACTTTCTCAGGATCACATAAGGCAGTGAGGGTGGAGTCAGATTTGATCTTGGGCACTCAGGCCCACATCTAAGTTATCCTGCTTTTCAGATTCACTCCTTGTCTTCCTCCTGCTCCTCCTCATCTGCAGCGATGATGGTGCATGTGTATTTTCCACATGCAGTTGCTCTTTGCCCTGTCTGGTGTCGAAACCATGTATACATCCTCTTTCTAAATCTGGGCATCGT